TATTAGTTACTATTGAGTGTTCAAACATTACATAAAACATATAAAATACTAATCCCAGCAGTTCAGGAAGCTGAGGCAGGGGAATAATGAATTCAAAGCCAGCCTAAGCAATGGTGAGGTGCTAAGCAACTTAGTGAGACTTTGTCTCTTTATTTAGAGGCTGGGGATGTGGCTCAGCGGTCGAATGCCCTGAGTTCAATACCCAGTACTCTCCCCCCCAAAAAAAACTTTATAAAATATTAAGGAAATCCACTATTATGCTACCCCTTAGAGAAATGCAGAAATGCACTATTAACATATTTGTATATATTCTTTTATATACTGTATGAGTTTTCACTTCCTGCTCCTCCACTTTTCAAAGAAAAATGGAATTATAATTCACATATTTGCAATTTACTAACTTCACCTAAAAATATCAAGGACACTGTTCCACATTAGTTACACAAAGAACTATTTTCAGTATTTTAACAACAGCGTAATATTCCATTGTTTGGGGAAGGATTTAACTACTTGAGCCCATTGATGGGCACTCTTCCAATGTTGCTTGCTACTTCAAAAAACACTCCTGCATTCAATGTGTGCCAAAGCATAGCCTGGAAGCTTCGAAGAACATTCTTTATGAACACTGGCTTACATCTAAAAGTAACAGTCATACTGTTATATCTTAGTTTTGTGGTAACAACTTTTCTCAGCTTTGTCAGAGATACTATCTGTTTTTTTTCTGTTTTTTTTTTCAGAACACTATCAACATTACTGATATAATATCACTTTTTATTTATATGACTAATGTGGAGTTATTTTATTTAAATATACTTTACTGTCACTTCCAGAAAAATCCTATGAAGTGGGTAATTGTCATTTTGAGTCAGACAATCTACTGAATTTCTTAAGCTGATTAGTTTTGCATATAGCCAGAACTCTCACTAGACTTTCATCTCATTTAAATTAAAGTCCACGTTTCTTATACTGGACTATAGGGCTACATGATGTGTCTTTCTAGCACTTCTCTGGTTCTTTTCTCTTTTTTATTTACTTTGCTCCAACCACACTCTTCTCTTTTCTGCTTTTCTAACATACCAAGCATGATCCCACTTCAAGTTGTACACTCGGCTGTTACCTTTGCCAGAAACCCTCTTCTCTGGCATTGCTGTGTGGCCTATTCTGTCACTTCTTTTAGATATAAACTCAAATGTCAACTTATCTACTTAACTTTCACTAACCAGTTTATTTAAAATGGCATCTCCACTCGAATTTTTGTCCCCTATTCTGTTTTACCCTGAATTTATTTTATACATTAGCATTAGCAAACATCTAATATCTTATGCATTTACTAGTTTATCTGTTTATTGTCTACCCTGAAGATCAGAATGTAAATTGGTTGAAGGCATGGTTTGCTTGTTTTATCACTGCACTATCTTTGGTGCCTAGAACAGTACCTGATATATGGCACACATTCATTAAATTATATGCTGAATGAGTAAAGAAATAAAAATAGAAATGTATCAGATCAGTATTTAATATGTTAATTTCAAAGTGATACATCTCACTATTTTGTTGTTCCTAATGATTATTTTAGTTGTGTTTTTTGGAGTTTTTAATGTTTTTATAGTCATAGCATTTAAAAATAATTATAAATACTTTCTATTTTCCCTTACTTAGATCTAATATTTTGATATATTTACTAATTGTTATAGCAAGAATTTTAAAAACAATATTAAGTGCTGGGTGATTTGGGGAGTCCTTGTTTTATTCCTTATTTTGAAAGAAATTTCTCTGATGTTAAGGATTCTGGTGGAGGTTTGAAACACATACATTTATCCATATACACACCTTTGCACACATACTCTTACAATTCATACTTTCTACTTCCTCACAGATTATTCATGAAAATGTGATCTTCTCATATGGCTTGTAAACAATACATTTTAATGCAAGATTTCTCAAGAGTTAATTCTCCTTATATTCAAGAGACTAGCTTTAACATTTCCATGGTATAGGTTCCTTTTAATGCACTGATCAAATTCAGTGTTTTTTTTCTTTTTTTGGTAACAAGATTGAATCCAGGAGCACTTAACCACTGAGCCACATTCCCAGCCCTTTGTTACATTCTATTTAGAGTCAGGGTCTCACTGATTTTCTTAGGGCCTCACCAAGTTGCTGAGGCTGGCTTTAAACTCAGGATCTTCCTACCTCAATCTCCCCAGCTGCTGAAATTACAGGCATGTGCCACTGTGCCTAGCCAAATTCAATATTTTTTAAAGGGCAAGTTACATCTACTTATCTATGTAAAAATTGATCTCTTTTTAGTTTGTGTAATTTAGCCAATTTGGATAATATTATGCTGGTTTTCTACAGAAAAGAGTAAACATTTTCTGTTGTATGCTACAAAGCAGTTCAGAATTAAATATTCCTTGAAAATGTGAAACAATGTACTCCTGAGACAATCAAGCCTGCATGTCTTTTTATATGTTTCTGCATATTACGTAATATTCTAGGATGAAAAGACAGATTAAAGAATCATAATTTCAACATTTTCTAGGGTCAATGGTTCAATCCAGTTTATATCTTCATGGGAAATTTTATTTTCTAATTTTTTCTATTCAGATTTTACATTAAACTTCCTAATAAATAAAACTGAGATTACTACATTTTTTTCATTTCTAATTATTTATATTTGCATTTATTAAAATTATAATGCTGAGGAAAGGAGCATCCTCCCCTTAATACCTCCTTTGTTCTTTCACAACTTGGGAAATTTTTCAGAGACCTATATATGCGGCATTGAGGTGGGAATTCAAACATAGGGTAATAGCACCAGGTGATGAGGTGACATTGCACCTCTATGAAACTGCCAGGGCTTTGGCATGGCTTCAAGGAATGCTGGTTCCAGCAGGGTGTTGGTAGTACAGAAAACATCTCAGACTATTAGGATAAGTGGTCCAGAAATATTACCCCTGAAGTTCTTTTTGAGCTAGGTCTGACTCTTCATTTCTCCAAGAAAATAGGAACAACTGAGCAATGAGAAAGTCCAATTAGTGTACCAATTTGAGCAGTCCTAAGTGGTCATATGCAAGCATTTAAGGAAAATTTGGGGGGAGAAAATCAAAACCATGTAAGTATGATTGAAGAGTTATTTTTTCTCCCAGGGATTTTAAGATATTGACATTTGATTATAACAAACTTGTTTTATTTTCTTTCTCTACCTTTTTGTCCCCAATGCTTTTTAGTATCCTTGCTAGCTGCTCTGTTTTCCCCTAATAGTCTCCCCAATTACCTTCCTCTTAGTGAGATATACAACAAATTCTTCACTGAGTATATTCTCCTAATGTCACATAGGCAGCTTAAATTCAACATGTCCCAAGTTGAAATGATCACCTTCTACCAGTGTCTTCTGTGCCTGTTTTTTTCTATATTTATTGATTGTTACTATTTATATTTGAGGCTGAACCTGAATTTTCATTTAAATTCTTTCTTATTCTTTACTCTTCATATGAAACACCAAATACTATTTGTTTACATCCCCCATTTTTCTATTAACTTTCCTCCTCTGAACACGCACCTCCAAAAATCCAGTTCAGATTTTCATCTCTTTGTCAGATTTTCTTCAATGACATCTGATGCATTTCATGTGACTGAAACCAGAGTGCAACAGGCCAAGAAACCTTAACAAGGTACAGGTAAGTATCTAATAGAAAGTAGTCTTATGTGATGCATCTCCATATATCTGAGCCTAAACTCTAAGTGCTCTCTTTCTTCGATCCAGCAATATTTTTAATACTTGCCCTCATGTCCTCATTTTCTTAATCTCTATTTCAGAACCTATGTATTACTCAGATCACAAATCTAATGATCTAGCCTCAGTGGTTTAAATGAAAGGATCCAAATCAGATGGATATTTGATTGGCAATCAACACAGAATTTAATGACATATTGTTGGCAAGGTTGTAGTCACTCAGGCCTGTATACATTATTTATGTGAAGATAAATTGGTAGTAAAATTTTGGAGTGTAATTTGGTAATGGCTGTTAGCTATAACATGAACTTAACTCCTTGACCTAGTAATTCCATTTCTAAAAAATTATCCTGCAGGTAGACTTAACACAAGTGCATACAGATGTACTTTTAAAGTAAACACTGAAGAATATAGCAACAAAAAACACCAATAATATTGCTAATCAAAGGTATAGTGAATATATTCCAACCATATAGCAGAATACTATAAAATAAATCATTAGGTACATCCATGGAGGAAGCAATTTCTAAAATTTTGTGATTAAAAAGGCATAGCTATGTACAGCTCATGTTATAATTTGTATGCAAATTACATATAAACATACTTAAGAGATATATATAGACTTTGTCTAAATAGTTACACACAAAAATATACTGGTGGTGACTTATGGCAAGAGACTAGGGATCCTTAGTTGTGACACTTGATTTTTATTGTGCATTTTTTATATATTTGATCATGTGCATATACCATTTTAAATTGATATTAAAAAACACAAATAAAAACCAAAATTGTAAGACTTGATAGATGTACTTCAAAACATTAGAAACAGCTTCATATGTAAAATGGTATACATTTATGCCTCCTACTTACATTGGAAGTAAAACATAAATATATCATATATATATATATATATATATATATATATATATATGTACTTAAAAGTACACGTACATTAGTGTAAATAAAAATGCACCTAGCCATCCTAAATTATACCAAGTGTATTAATTATTCAAGATATTATTTAATCTTTTAACTTATAAACATGTTTCTTTTTCAAAACCAAATGTACAAAATAATGTATGCAGAGCTGATGTTCAAGCTTCACCTTTTTTCTTGGAAAATTTTGACTCTGGTAAATATATTCCTAGTAGGAAATTTAAAAAGTGTACATTTAACCATTCAAAAATTTAAGTCTCACACATAGTTACTAAGATGCTGAACACATTTTATTTGTTTTTTTCTTGCAATACATCACATACTCATAATTGATTCAGACAAAAGAATTATCCATGTACTTAACACAAAAATGTAAACAACATCTACTCTGAGCACATCTTCTGGTCTTTCACTGTAAATGGCTACCTTGATGGTGTTAACTGAATACTACAAAATGTTTATCTTTTAAAATACCTGATTGTTCTGCCACACATAAGCCAGTTTTGAGTAGCACTCAAAAACCATAGCATAAATGCCACCCAGGAAGGTAAACAGAAAGACAGCAGCTTTAATGAAGTCTGAGGGTTTGGAGTGGTGATGCTCAACTTTTACTGAATAATCACAATTTTTGACTAATACCAAACAGTATTGTAATATTCCTTAACTAAGATAATACATTTTTAAAAATCATTTTATGCACCAATGAAATACAATCAACAAATACTGAGTTAACAACATCCCAATAAAATATGCTCACAATGGTGGCAATCAACTGCATTTTCCAATTGGAGTAAGTCTATATCTTCAGCCCAGCCAAAAGACACATTTTTAACGCACATTTTCCCCAAATACTATACATCTGAAATGTGTAAAGGTCTGAATATGTTATGGAAATACTGGTAAAACTAATGTACCAAATGGTATTGAGAGTAACGACTACATTAGCCTAAAGAAAAATATGTAAATCACTCAACAAAAGAAAACAAAGTTTAGCCTTGTATGAGAAAGCAGAAAGTAATGCTTTAGGCAAGGTGCAGAAAAGTCTTAAAGCCAAATTTTGAGTGCCCAAACCACCAATTTTGTGCTCTTTCTTTCTCTCTGTCTAATGCACAAAGCACAGGTAAGTTAAGTCAGGTCCACCTGTAAGACAAAGGGTAGAGTTACAAGGACAAATACAAAATTAAGAAAGTTAAATAGAGCTCAAATGTACATATGCCCATTTTCAGGACAAGGTGACCATTCTTAACTCCAGAGGCCTGCATAGTGCCCATGGAGGCCTGAAGGGAGAGGTCCCCCAGCTACAAAAAGCTTCATCTCAGGCCAGTTGTAGCAGTGAGTGTAGAGGGCATTGGGGAACTCCTCCACACCACCAAAGTAATTCACCCAGAGTTCATCATGGTTGAGCCAGCCTCTGCCACAGGTGAGTTTGAGCTTCTTCCCTGTGGGTCCCAGAAAAGAGTCCAGGCTGGCTGAGGCCCTCTCTTCCAGGAACTTCTGGGCACGGATGTCATAGAAGAGTAGGGAGCCATGGCCTGTGCCCACAGTGACTATGTGCTGGTAGAAGCTCAAGGAGCGCACACCTGTGCCGCCCTCTCTGGAGCACAAGGGCCGAATGTTCTGCTGGCGATGGCGGGGATCCAGGAAGGAGACGTGAGACTGGGAGCCCACCGCGTACAGGGACAATTCATCACAGTAGGTCAGGCACACGTTTTCTCGGCAGTAGGGCAGCCTGATAGACAGCAGCCTGGATAGGTGGCTTCGTGCTTTCCACAGGTGGAAATAGCCATCCAGGGACACTGCTCCCAGTTCCTGGTTCTTGCCGCTGAAGGCCAGGGCTCGCACTTTGCGGTTACTGGGGTTGCTGCTGGCCCTGGGGATGGACTCTATGTCCTTTGGATGGATGTGGGTGTACAAGGGAAGAGATGCATCCTTGTGCCAGGGACTGCTGCCAATAAACTTGTCAGGGTCCACGCGCCACAGTGCCATGGTGCCATCACGGGAGCCACTCACGGCCACAGTGTCACTCATCCAGGCAATGGCAAAGATCCAATCCCTGTGCCCATGGCGGTCACCCAGGCAAACGGGGTCCAAGGTGGGCAGCTGGTAGACAGCCAGGCTGTTGGGATTTTCGCCCCCGGTGGCCAGAAGTGTCTTGGAGGGATTTAATTCAATGGCATGGATGCCGCAGGTTGGCTGATCCCGGGTCAGGGCAGGCATCCGGTCCCGCATCAGGGGGATGCGATTGATTTGGCCCGACTGCACGTCCACCACAAAGAGAGTGTTACACTTGGTGCCACACACCACCTGCGTGGCGTTCAGCCACTGAGAAGCGAAAACCTTGTTGAGGGTTCCCAGGGCCAGCATGCGCTCAGTCAGCAGCTCGGGAAGCCTCTGCACCGCGTAGTCACGTAGCTTGCCCTCGAAGCCCGGGAGCCAGGCGCGACCCCACGCGCCCACCGTGCGGCCCTTTAGGTAGTACACCAGCGATCGAAGCGTGGCTGGCCGCTTCTGCTTCTTGGGCAGCAGCGGCCCCTCTCCGTGCCCCGCCGACATTAAGCCCTGGGACGACGAGCTCCCCGCTCCAGCCTCGAGCGCGGACTCTTTCCTCTTCCTGCTACCTGTTTGCTGTGGGGCCATGGTGGCTGGCGGGCAGACAGCTGAGGTTGTGGCAGCGGCACGGCAAAGGCGGCTGCGCGTGGCACCAGTGTTGGCTGCAGCGGCGGCAACGGCGGGGCTGGCAGCGTCTCCGCGTAAGCTGGAGCGCAGGGTCTCAAGTGCCAAGAGGCTGGGGCGACCGCTGGGCGCTGAGCCTACCGAGTCTGGGGTGGGTTGTCAGCAAAGAAGGCGACAGCCAGGAGCCCAGCAAGGAATGCGCGGAGGGAGGGAGCGGTGCGCGGGCGACAGCGGCTGCTAGGGTGGCACGGATCTAGGCGAGGGCGGGAAGTGCGGTCGTCTGGGAGGTGACAGCGAAGTCAGCTTGGGCAAGGACTCTGCGGGGGGCCTAAGTCTGAGAGACGGAGGCAGTGGGAGGGGCGGGAGGGCGTGGGTTGCGGGGTAGTGCTCGCCCAGCGGGGTGGGGGTGGGGAGGGGGCGGAGGAGGAAGAAGGAATGAAGCGGGGGAGGCGGGAAGATTCTTAGAGGCCGCGTTCCAGGACGCCCCAGTCCAAAACCTGGAGTTTCACTACCCTGATAATAGCAGCCAACTAGCCTTAAAATTCCTACTTGAATAAATCTGAAGCCTAAAATACAATCAAGCACCGAACTAGAAGCCTTAAATGTGATCTGTGGGAAGAAACAAATGTGCCCCTGATGTAATCTTAGGAGACCCTTGGATCAGATTGCACTTGGTAAAGAACGGGAGTGTTTGAAAGTGGAAGGGACATCCCTTTCCTGCTAGTTCCTTTCTGCTTTTCCTCCTTCCTCAGCACTTCTGCTAGTGGTGTCTTATAATTTCAACCAAATATTTTTTCTTCTTCTTCTCAAATCAAGGTCGCTGAACTCCTGCATCTGAATCCCTGAGGGGTGTCTTCCAAATATTGACCGCATTTCCATCCAGGGTGGGATAGGAAACCTTTGGTCCGAGGCATCCTTGAGAACTTAGAAGGCTGCAATGCGGAGGGCGGGTGGATCTGTAGGCGGGAATGTGGGAGGGGTAAAGAGAAAGATATTCCTCTGTGGTGTTTTTGAACCTCAGAGCTGAGCTGGAGGGAGAAGAGGTCCTAGAGAAACATACCTTTCTCCTTCTCCAAGCAGGATAAGTTCAGCCCACAAAGTAGTCCCAGAAGTCCAGGGAGAGCTCCGTCCTCTGTGGAAGGCTCTCTGGGGCGTCGGGGCAGTTCCCTGAGATATTCACAGGGAATAGCTATCCTCAGTCACAGATGGTGACTAAGAACTTCCAGAGAAAAAATATGGGCACAATGGTGAGGTGAAGATATTCAGAGCATGGGGTCTGCAGTTTTAGGAGTCAGATGGTCCATATCTGTTCTGCAAGTTCTGTAAAGCCAATCTGATAGCAGGACCAAACCAGGGCAAACCAGGTTTGCACAGTGGGGTCTACATTTGGACACCCCTCCAATAATTCAGATGCAGGAATTCAGCTACCTTGATTTGTATAAAGCACTGGAAGGCTGTGGGCTGGTACCTAATTTACATAAGCCTAATCCTCCCTCCAGAAAAACGCGTTGCCATGGATGAATGTGATGGGTGTGGGGCGTGGGGCTGTGGAGTGAATTAATTTTTATCAACAGTAAAAGATGATTATGAGGGTAGGGGTTGTGTCTTAGTGGTAGAGCTTTCCCCTAGGATGTGCAAGACCCTGGGTTCGATCCTCAAGACCACATAAAAAGAAACAAACAAATAAATAAATAAAATAAAGGTATTGTGTCCAACTACAACTAAAAAAGGAAATAAATAAATATTTTTTAATAAAAGTTAGTTATGAAAGCTATTTTGTTGCTGCTCTTTCCCCTGTCGCTAGCTATCACCATTTTTGCCAAGTAACCTCAAGTGCACAGACTCCAAGTACAAAATCCACAGGTCTGTCACATCACGCTAATCCAGCTGTTATTCGGGTGTCACCCCCTCAACATTCCTCCGCAGGTGTGATGCCTTTTCAAGAAGAGTGTGCAGATGGTGAATAGGTTGCAACCTAGCAGGGAAAAAATTGCCGATGATTTAATAGAGATGTTATTAATGGAGATTAACCAGAAATTCCTTTAACTTTACTTAACTAAGATTTCCTTCTGTATTTAAATTCTAACATAAAAAAACTGATATTATATGAGACCCCATGCATAGTTTTTGATGTGATAATAGACAAAATGGCTGAAAATTTGGGGTTTATTACCTATTTGGCTATCTGTGTATGTACTCTACCCAGATGCACACCCTTTTATTTGTAAACATAAATGATGCTTACATCATCAGCTATTATTATAGAGAACCTATAGGTGTCATGGTCTCTGGAGTGCTGTACTAAATAGACACTTCAAATGCTAAATGCTTTAACTTTCAGCCTCACAATAACTTTAAAAGGTAGGCTTTATTTTTATTGCGTTAATGTAAAATGAGGATACTGAAGCTCAGAAAGGGTTAATGACTCTCCCATTACACAGCTAGTAAATAATAAAGTCAAGATATAAATCCCTCTGTGACTTCAACATTTTTGCAAATGACTACCACCATATGTTATTTTACAAATACTTATTTCTGTTTATTATTCTTTAAAACCATGTAATCTCACCTATCATGGAAACTTTACAGATGTTATGTTTTGTGTGTTATTGAAAGCTACAATTTCCACAATGAATGAATAGTAAATGCAACTTATGTACATGCTTCATATGATATTTTAAGACAAAATATGATTCTGAAACTTTGGTTTACAAGTTCTTTTTAATTAATATTTATAAGACCTATATTCACATCTAGTGTATTTTTTAATCTTTGGTAAAAATAACACCTATCTATAGTCCTGGTATCATGTCACCTTACTCTTTTGCTACATAAATATACACTGTTTAGGTATAATAATGTATTTAGGTATAATTCAATGTTCAGATGATTGTTTGTATTGATAAATGAGGTATATTAATTTCATCTAGAATATTATATCTGAAATACTTTTCATTTGCATTTACAGTTTCAAAAATCTATGAGTGCTTTACTGAAAGACATACAAACAACTTCCAGAACCGAAGCAAGTAATGCTCAGAGATGCACAGGTGTTAATATCAACTTTTAATTTTGAATTTTTATTTGTATCTGATTGCTTCCATTTTTAATAAAATGCACTCCAAATATATAGAGTCATAAACACTTATTGTTGAAGCAGTGAATGAAAATTTCAGATATTTGCATAGCCTCTTTCTTTCTTTCCGTCTTTCTTGGTGCTTGCATGCACGTGCTAGGAAAGTGCTCTACCACTGAGCTATATTCCCAGACCTCCAGATAGCCTACTGAAAGTCAGGGTCTCCATTAGGTGTTTAAAGATATTTTGTGATTGGGCTGGGGTTGTGCTCTGTGGTAGAGGGCTTGCTTCACATATATGGGGCACTGGGTTCGATCCTCAGCACCACATAAAAATAAGTAAACAAAATAAAATTATTGTGTCCATTCATAACTAAAAAATTTTAAAAATATATTTTGTGATATCTTCTTTACATTTGTATGTATAACTATTGTATTATCTTTATCAAAAAGTATAAATGTAAGACACTAAAAAATGAAATATAGTTAATAAAGCTTGTTTTAAATTAATATATGGTAATGATACCGTGTTATTTATAACAGACACAAGGCAAACTAGTCTTGAATGATTAAATTGAATAAATTTTCACTTAATCTCTAGTTATAATACAGTTGTACCATTTCAAGCTGTGACCTTGTCAGGTCTCCTAAGATAAGCTGCTGTGAATCTGTTTTGTAGTCAGATGGTCTTCCAAGTCTCATGATGCAGAAACTGGTAGAGATGACTCAGCAAACTATGCTTCCTCTTAGAAAGACACTACCAAAGGCATATTCTGTTGAATGGAATGGGGTAAAAAAAAAAAGATTTATCACATTATTATTCTTACTAGAAACTGAATTACAAAGAAGGAGGCAACTCTGAATCAATGACCTTTTTGTTTATCACACCCCTTTCTGTCTTCCTAAGAGAAAGAAATGTGTCAGAGCCCCAACTTGGGTGGGCTTTGTTTTATGAGAGGGTAGATTCAGTGTTGATTACATTTTATGGGAGGCACTACAATGTAGTGGTTAAAGAGAGCATGTTCTAGAGTCAGATAACATTATTTTAGTTGTATTTCTATAGCTTGATGGCTTTGTAACAGGGCTATGTATTATATTTACCTTGCCTTTATTCCCTTATTTGTAAAATGTGAATAATAGTAGCATCTATGCCATGTGGTCATTTTAATGATTAAGTAAGATTGAATACACACACACACACACACATACCACCACATCACTGGGAACAGCATCTGGCAGATTATAAGCACCTAATACATTTCTCTTAAATCTTAACTGCATTCTCTCCTTTCCCTTATTTAACTTTATAATGGCAATGTGGTAGTCATGCTGTTGATGGTTTTTTGTGCAAACACAGATTCACCATTGCTACAAACTAGTACACACAAGGATGATTGATTTTTATTAAGGTTGACTATTTGTCCACTTATAGAAATCCGTATTCTCTTACCAATCTATAGGTAAATATTAATTTGGTAATAATGTACTGGAATAATTTTACAGTATTTTAGTAGATCCTCAGTTTGTGAAAGGGCTCATTCTAAAAAACAGCCAATACTGGATTCCTACTACTAATAGCTATGGATGTAAATATGTGCTCTGAACAAAGAATTGATCTTTTCCTTAATTTAGGGCATTTCTCACCAACTGATATAAAGTACTTAAATTGGATACAAGTGACTAAATAAGGATAAGGGTCATGCCGTGACACTGGTTGGCATGTAAAGGAAGTCCTGAATGAGATTATGCTTACAAAAATTGATTGAGAAGCCATTCTATTCCATGCTAGCAATGTTTTAACTGGGTATAGATACTCAAATATTATTTTCCCTATCTTTGATATCAGTTTACCCGTAACTCCAAATGCACAATATATGCCAATGAATCCTAATTTTATATCTCCATCCCAAACCTGCGAGTCCAACTTTCTACTTGATACTGTGAATATCAAAATAGAAATACAAATTCAACATGTATAACCTCAAGATCGTGATTTCAACTCCAATGTACCTGAACTTTTATTATTTCCTGTCTTAATCAGTAGCATCACCATCCAGTCACTGTGCAAATTAGGTTTCCAACAATAATCTTTCACAC